ATTCCTGCTCAGGCTTACTGACACAGCTACATCTCCAATTTTGTGCTTGCAATGCCTAGCTCCTTGGGGGAGCGTCAAATCCCTTATCCTGTTTTCCCTTCTGTGCATTTAAGGTTAGGATTTTGGCTATATGCTGTGTTACAGTTTTCCTGAAGAATTTTACGGGGCAAAAGGCAACTACTGTTCTCACAGCAAATTCCATAGACTTTGAAAGGACCTGGGTTTAGATGTTCTTTTCAGAGTGAGAATGACCTGTTTTTAGTTCAGCCTTCACCAGCTTTTGATTGTTTGTCAGTACTGGGGCACTTGAAGCATCTCATTTGAAACTGATTTCACTATTTTGGTTTTTCATATGCTTCATTCCATATAATTTTAAACTACCTGACACTTCATGTCAGTAAAATTCTAAGTTTAATGGAGAAGGGATGGTATTTCATTTGCAATAAGGAAACAGGTTGGTTCAAACTGAGATTTTTGAGAATTTTTAAGTAAATTACGTCCCATAACCTTTCTGAGTTGCAGTAAGACTTGTGCATTTTAGCTTAAAATCGCGGCCTAAAATGCACTTGTGACCTCTGAGAAACTGCCTGTGGCTAGGAGTAAGAATTTATTTTGGCAGATAAACAACATCTTCCTGTGGTATGAAAGGAGACCTCTCTTCTGAGGTAAAAGTTAATTCAGATGCGGAATTGAAAAAAAAATATGTCAGAGAATAAAAAGACTTGAAAGTCTAGTGGTAGGGAAATATTTTTAGTGAATATATATGTTTAGCTGCAGGTCCTAATGCTGCAAGTTAATCACTTTGCTTGTATTAGTGCTAAGCAAAGCAATTCTTTTGTATTTAACATAACATGCAACTATTGTATACAGTCATTGTCTGCAATGTTACCCAAGAATTTTGAAATTAAGTTTTTGAGTAGAAAATTTATGAGGTTGCAGGGAACCGTGCTTGTTCTGAGAATATTTACTTCTATCAAAGGTTTTTGCTGAAATCCAGAGGCAACATCCCACTGAAAAAAAAAAAAAAAAAAAAAAAGCCAAAAAAAAGCAGTGAGTAGAGCTTTTGTCTTAGCTCCAATTTCTGTTCTGTGTGATTCCTTTGGCTGTGCTGACACTTGTTTTTTCTCTTATACCTGTTGGAAGAAACACCATGTATGGAAAGGGAATATTTAAAATCCACAGCAATTTTCACAGGAGAGAAGTACTATTTTTTGATTTATAGTGCCATGAAATCATGCAAATCTTAGATGATCTCTAGGAGACTTTTCTCTTCAAGCACCTGTTATTTGAAAATCCCAAACATGGTATTTAATTTGTTTTTACCTAGGTATTTTACCTTATTTTTTCAGGAACTTAAATACTTCTCATAACTTGGTAACTTATTTATATAAGTATTTATAAAATTATAACTCGAGTCAGACTTAAGATGCATAGAAATGATTGTCAGAAAATCTGATAGAGTGTGTTACAGGATGACCATTTTGTATTAATTTGTGAATTACTTGAAACATATCACAATGTTGTCTAAACACACACAAAACTATGGAAACTAATTTCGTGGTTAATTTAGGAAGCTATTTGGTCTCTTTTCAGCTGACATCCCAGCATATTATGCTTTCAGAGCTTTTATTTCAATTTCTGCATTACATACATTTTTTTTTTTTTTTTTCTTCTCTCCTCAGAAATTTTTCCAAGAGATTCCAGTCTAAAAGACAAATTCATAAAACATTTTACAGGTAAGGAAACTGCTTGCTCTAAATTTACCTACACATGTGTATTCAAAATATCCATAAGAGTCACAACCATGAGCTTTTCTGAGGTTCTGCACCAAGTTTAACTTTTGAGAAGTTAAATTTGCATTGTTTAGGACTAGAAGTTTTTACAGAACTCTGGTTGCGTTTAGGTTTGAATCTTTGAATAATCTAGCCTAAAAGAACTTTCAAAGCATAATAAGTTAAAACATTCATGGTTGAAAACCTATTTTATCATCCACTCGTTGCTTGTGGTTTTGCAGCTACACTAGAAGTTTGATAGTTGTAGGTACTGAATATATACGTCTATATGCTATAGATGCTGCATTGTATATCTATGTGCAAACAATTTGCAGTATGGTGTTAAATATTTAATATAAGTGAGCACCTATCTGCAATCTCTGCCAAGTAATATTTTAATGAGAGAACTCAGTACGTTTTAGATTTTAAATGTATTTTTTCCATAATTTTTGTCAGTCCTACTATGTTTGTTTTCAAGTTCACTAATTTTAAAACAACTGGTTGGACTACATATATCTTTCAGAAACATATTTATGTGGCCATGTAAGTTTTTACTGTATTAGGAAAACATTTTTTGTCTTCTGCCTCATGATGTATACGTATGTATGCTTATTTTAACAAGGCAAACAAATAGAACAAGGAAGGATCAAACAATGTAAATCAGGAAAATAATCTGCTATTTCAAATATGAAAGTTTAATATGATTAAAATCAAGTATTTGAACTCGAAAGCTGAGATGGAGTTGTGTAATGCACCTGCCTTTGGGAATCTTATTTTCTAACAACTGGAAACGTGATAACTTCTGAATATAAGCAAAAAGAGTTGTCAATAGTAAGATGTTTGCACTGGTTCTTTTCTCCCTGGTTTCAAATGTTCTGTAATTCCAGGTTTCAGAGTATGACACTGCAAATCTGTAGTTGATTAGTAAAACTAAAAACTAGAGAAATAGTTGGCAGTTGGAGTATGAAAAGGAGAATTGGAAATAATTATGCATTTCCTCTTTGCTGGAAATTTCAGACAGGCCTTGGCAAGAGAGGAGAGATTTTGTTGTCTCTTTTGCATGGGGAAAGTGTCCTCAAAACTTTAGGATAAGCACAGCTTTAAGAATCTTTCTGCCAACAGCTAACTGCAGCCTAACAGCATCTACAGGAAACATGCAACACCCAGCTGGCCCTTCACTAGTACAGTAAACAAGAGTAATTATAAGCCTTACCATTTTAGTCCATATGAGAAATAAATGAAAAAAAAAATAAAAAAATCCAACTGTGCTATCCTATCTAGCACAGGAATACTGGAAATTACTCTTCTGGGGAGGACAGAGAAGAAAGATTTGCTTAAATGAATAATTAATCAATTTCCTTTTCATTTTTAACTTTGGAAACTACTCAGCTGCTGCAAAAAGCTCAGTGTAAGAGTCTGGGTAAGCTAAGCAATGACTACAGAGCAAGTCTCATTACTCAAAAAAAACAGTGAAAAACAACCATGAGTTTTAAAGAAGGTATTTTGAGAATACTAAATCATAGAAAAAGAGCAAAAAATACTTGAAGGCTTATTTCTGGAGCCATTCACTGAATTAATTGCATGAGGAGTTGCCATAAAAATTGCTGAAATTATTTGACTAACATTAGCTGGAATGAATAAGGAAAGCAAGTTCATTCCAGAAATCTTAACGTTTATTTCTTTGTTGGCTCAGAATTTCTGCCTACATCTTTTTTTTTTTATTATTATTATTTTTTATGCTCTTAACATCTTCAGTGGTGGATTTTTCTCCCTGCCTTTTCTTTTCCACAGCTTTATTAGGTCCTGTAATCCACAGGCATTTTCTTAAAGTACAGCCTAATTTATTTTTTTTTTATTCTGTTCAAATCATAATCATAAATTTCTATCATCCTTAGTTAAGTAAACTGTTCAGGTACAGACCTTAATAGTTCAAGAGTTAGAACATCCTAAACTAATGAAACTGTGAAAAAGAGGAGAGAGAGTGAAATCAACATTATCTTTACAGTCCATTATCTTTACAGCTTCAAGGTTAAGAAAATTACTATACCCTTCCAAGGGTACAGTAGACAAGAATAGTAGATATTTTAAAGCCAAGTAAGAACCATATGTAACAGTCCTCAACTATAGGGAAAATCATAAATAATCTTGTGAGTCATAAAGCTATCTATCAGTTCAGCTTGAAAAGCCAGCTGACACATAGTGCTCTGTAAGGCACAAATAAAATTAACAGCCTATTTTTGATGGCAAGGAAGAGAGCTAGAAAACCCTATATTATCTAAGGGACATGGAGTTTATTTAGTGACAAAAGCTGAAGTTTTCTCCATATATCTTGGATAATTTCAAATTATGTACTTTTGCACCTAATTGCTCACATAGATAAAAGGTGGCAACAATCTTCCATTTCACAGTTACAAAGGCTGCTTTGTCAGTTTATTGAAAAGCTTATTTGTGGCTGGAAAAATCTCATAAAATCTATGTACTGCTGTAAAATCTATCTGATGTTCAACTGTGTTCACTGTCATGGAGAGGAATCTTCTCTCAAGCTTGTGGAAGTTTGGCTCCACTATCCAGGCAGAATTGGCTTGGTATGTTTACCAGGCTGATAAACCACCTTTCAAGTTGTGAAATAAATACTTTTTTGCCTAGAAATGCTTACTGTCTTCCTCTGACAGGAAAGTTAGTCAAAGCAGCTTGCTTCATATGGATCCTTTTGTAGCACTGCTTGAAACAACCTATTACTCAGGGTTCCGTTTCATGCTGAATTTAGAGGATACAAGTTAAATTTAGTCTTGTTCAGTTGGTGTCATTTGTCAGTTTATGTCAGTGTTTTTTGTCCATATCACAGGAAACTCATCCCCAGCTGTCAGTGGCAGTATTACTAAGCAGTAATGTAATACAGGTATTACATTTTTACTCTGTTTTTAACTTGGATGCCATCAGTAATACCTTCCCAGGACCATCAGCAATTATGAAAGGGCTCTTTGGCAACTTCTTACCTTTGAACTATGTTTTGGAGACCGCTATCTATATCTTCTTATCAAATATCAATGTGGAGAGATGACACTGATATCCAGAGAAGGAAGTACAGGCTAGAAGAACGGAGACACAGCACACTACACTCTGAGCACACAGGGCATTGCCTCACCCAAATTTTGAAACACATGCTGCCCTCTGCACATATACGTCCTTTCCTGCTAGTACTATTTTAACAGGACATCAAGGTTCCTAGATGCTGTTCGGCAGTCATTTTTTTGCCCCTCAACACCCATATTGTATATTAAAAACTTCATAAACCATCTATGTGAAAATTAGAAGCATTAGTACTTCATTCATTTGCTCAAAATATTGCTTTTATATATCTTCAGAAAAGAAGTTTCTATTTTCACCATATAAGAAATGTTACTGTTAATTTTGAATTACTGGAATTTCAAAGCTAAGCAAGTTCATTGTTTCCAAGGGCCATTTTGCTGTTATTCAGGTCGTGGGTATAACAGCATAGCAACAGTATTTCTTTGTGTCATTTAAGTAGCATTATTATCCTTGTGTTGCATCCTAGTTGTTTAAAGTGTAGTAAAAATTAAACACAAGTTTTTCAAAACACATAGAACTGAATTCTTTGTGATGATGTCATACATTGAAGATGCAAAGCAGTGACACTGAAAGCCTGTGATTAACTCCTGCTTACTTTCAAACAGGGCCAGTCACATTTTCATCAGAGTGTAGCAAGCACTTTCACCGACTGTATCACAACACAAGGGACTGCTCAACACCAGCCTGTAAGTAGTAATTAAAGTACCTTATAATGCTAGCTGTGATACTTGCTTAAAAGCAACTTTTCCTACTGTTTGATCTGCTGGTCCTTTAGTAACTGTTGATTTTTACTGTAGCACTATGCTACAAAAAATACCCAAGATCTTATATACAGAGATTTTCTATCAATGCACTTGCTGTCAGCTGCTTAAAATGGAGTTCCTTCAAAGTGACACTAACATAAATGAAATTAAAACTACACTCTTAAAAACCAGTTGGGCATTCCTATGCAGAGGGCAGATATGAAGCCATATTCTCCTTCCTGCTCCCTTTACCTTTACTTGTTAACTTATGCGATAAGATAAAAACTGAACCATTCTATGATTCTCTTAACATTCAGTAGTGTGGTTATACCTAGGTTTTTGAGTATATTTCGGTTTGTGATGATATTTTTCTATTACATGCTTATTGTTAAAGAACAGGAAATCAATTAATTTAACATTTCTGTTATTGATACGTAATTTTGTTTGAGATTGAAAAATAAAATTGTCCTAAGATGTTATTAAATAAATAAAACAACGAACCAAACAAACAAAGCAACAAAAAAACCCCAAAAATCAACAAGCAAAATGGAAACCCTTTGAAAGAATTTACTTCAACATTCTCTAGTGTAATGGACAATTAGAATAAAATATGTGGAAGACAAGCAATAATTAGAAGAGTTGAATCTCATTAGTTATGTCTAAGTACAAACTGTGGATCAAAGTACTTCTGAAATTTGTCAGGATTTAACATTAAAAATGACACTTCTTGACTGCATCATTTAGAAAGATGGTAAACATTTTTTGTGAGCAGCTGGAGCAGCCCTTATTTCCATTTGCCCTTATACTGATCAGAAGTTGGAATGTAGAAATCCATGGCTGATCCTCAAAAGATACACATATAGCTTTGTAAGTGGACATGTGAGTGGGCTAGACACATATCTATTACATGCTGCATAAAAAAAAACCCCATACATGTTGCATATTATTACATGGGTCCAGAGTATATGAATATTATTTGGACTCCCCTGTATTGCCTGAATGTTTCACTTTGTTTATGAAGAAACACAGTCGTAATATTTCTCTTCTAATGAACTTCTCTTCTAACTTCTCTTCTAATGAAATAGCTTTTCTCTAAATTTAAAAACAAGATTGTGGCTAGGACTGTGTGTAGAATTGATTTTTAAGTTCAACTATGAAAACAAAATAGAAAATAAAACGTGCAGTTAAAATGAAAGCAGATTTTTTTTCTCCTTTATGTCAACCCAACCAAAAACAGACAGTGAGTTTTATTAAATCAGAGAGAAATTCAACCTGTTGATCTAAAAAGGCAATCTAAATCCTCAGAAATGTCTCCACTTTATCCAGAATTCAGAGTTTAGAAAAAAAAAAGCTGATCATAGCCAGGATCTTTTATTTCAGGGACACCTTTACTACCATCTGAGGTTCGGTTACTACTTCTCCTGCTGACATGGTTATATTCTGTACAAACATTGCCTGCAGAACTGAACCCAGGTCAGCATTCAGTATCTTGCTGTTTGGCACAATTTCTATTAAGTTTTATTAAAATATTCATAACGCAAGAAAAGGTAATTGCACCTAAGCATTCCCGGTCACCAAATAGATCTTTCCCTCAGAAAAGGTGACAGTGGCTCTGGGTCTAGTTGAACCATGTGGCCATTTGAACCAAGGGCACCAAAGAGAGAGATAGCAAGCAGAACACTGGTATCTCTAGTCTGATGATTAGGAGACATACTTCTATATGGAGAACATGGATGTTCATCAATGCTAATACTAAGTGGAACAATAAAAAAATTTTAAAGAGCCTGACTTCAAACTATCTCATAGTCTGCTGGTTAGAGCAGCCTCCCAGTTAATGAGTTAAATTCTTTCAAGTAAAGGTGGGAGTGAAACCTGGTGTTCTATATCTTAGGAGGAAACCACCTGGTAGAAATTTAATTGCTACCATCACTCACATTTTCTTCTTCCTAACCATAGGATGAGGTATAAACTGATTTTGCATCTTGCACACATAATTTAATGAATTTCTATCAGAGAATGGCTTCACTGTATAGAGTGTCTGGAATTCTAGTAAAATTTCTACATTTAATTTTATGCAGTTTCTTGAGGTTATCTGGCAACTGGGATTCACTATTGCTGTGCATAATTTTGTTTTATAGATTATAAAAGGTGTGCAAGGTTGCTAACGAGATTAGCAATGAGCCCTTTGTGTACACAGTCCTAGGATGTTTGCTATGTAAGTATCATTTTTCCCACTAATTTTCTTATTTGTTGAATGGTCTAGTGATTTACTTCACACTTGTACTTTGTTATCAGGCATGTGCATAGAAATGTGATATTAACAGAGTGCATCAACGTGCAGCTCTGGCATTACTCTAAGGACTGACTGGTTTCTCATTAAAATATACAGAAGCCCAGATATCTCTAATAGGTCTCACTGTAATGTTGTACAAGTCATTGGTGGCACCATAGTCCATAATTATGGACTGAATGAACTCTTAGTGTTCAAAATTTTGGAAAGGATTCTAGTTGGTGAAAGAAAAATGTATGAGGACTTCATCAACACATTCATTTCAGGCCTTTCAGAAGAGAGCTTTGTGGTTATTCCATGGAAGAAGCAGAATGTCTTGGTCTCAGGTCTGCCCATGTGATCTCCATAGACACTATGTCACTTTATTACTCTGTGGGACCACTTTTCATTCCCACATTGTCTCCTGAGAATTTCTCTGAACTCAATACCACTTCATGGTTCTGGAAGTAAACTGAATGTAAAGGTATAACAAAACTAAAAGCTTCAAGTAACAGGCCCAGGAATGGATCAAGTCCATTCTTGTTTGTGAATAGCATGTTAAATTTGTTAATTAAACAATGTTGTTCCTGATAAAAGGAATATCTTTAAGTGAGCTCTTTTCTCCAGTTGTTTGAATATCAGGAAGATGTTTACACTTCCAAAAGTAATTTGAGAAACAGCACTGTTTATTACTGACTAATAAAATATATGAAATAAGTCAATTTAATGTTATTAACATTTCTTCAAAGATGGCTTGCTTTCACCACCTCCTTCTGACAAATAGTGCAAGCTTGGAGTTTGCAGGAGTTCTGTATGTCACTTCTTCCTGCCTTAAGACTTCAATTCATACTAATCAAGAATAAGAAAGGAAGAGTAGGATATGAGTCAGTGTTAGCTGACTTGATTTCCAAGTGGAGGTGGGATTCATTTTGGTGACTGTGAGAAAATGCTTTGAAGAATATGGCAATATTGCAGTGCTAAGAAGAAATGACATAATTTCTTTCTCTTCTTATTTTCTTTTTTTAACTCTGTTCAGTCTGTTTAGCTTCTTGCCTTCCAGGTCTTGCAGATGGTCACTGTGAGAGTGACAGAGCACTGGAACAGGCTGCCCAGGGAGGTTGTGGAGTCTCCTTCACTGGAGACATTCAAAACCCGCCTGGATGCGTTCCTGTGTGATGTGCTCTAGGTGACCCTGCTCTGGCAGGGGGGGTTGGACTAGATGATCTTTCGAGGTCCCTTCCAACCCCTAAGATTCTGTGATTCTGTGAATATATCAAGGGCACTGATCCAGAAATTGACTAGAGATCTCATTACTTTGCCAGAATCTCCTTTTCATGATGAAAGATAGGAATTATTTTCTGAATGTTCTCTGCAGTCTCAGCTATCTAAAACATCCCAGCACTTTCTCATTTCCTGCATTTTCACCTCTTTGGTCTGTGGTTTTCCCTCATCTTTATTCCTTTACACCTCTGGAGTCATGGCTCAGGGTTTCCAGAAAGATTTCTGGTTGTTCCAGTATTTTTTTTTCTTTTTCTTTAAAGAGGATGAGTCAAAGATCTGCCTCCATATCCACAGTACAGAAGCATCTATCTCATCCTATTTCCATCTTTAAAATACAAAAGGATCAAAAAAATAATTTGCCATGATTTGCAAATCCAGGTGTTCTAATTTGCCTGCCAAAAATATACTCAAAAGAGTTGACATGTGAGGAAGGGAGGGTTTAAATGGTAAGCAATGTTAGCAGCTTATGTGCACTGAAGTTTTATCTAGGCTGACTTTCTCTTTGCTTTGTTAAAAACAGAGAAAAACATTACAGGAAAAAGCAGAGCTATGGTGTGTTTCCCAGCTGCCTCTGTGCTCCCATACCCTCTGCCTCCACAAAGTAGACAGAGTAGCTGGTTTCCGCTAGAGATAAGACAGGCTCAGGCCTTCATGTTTACTCATATCCAGTATCTTATTGGAATGGAACCATTTCCCTGAGAAGGATGAAGGGTGGCAGAATTCACTCTCTCTTCCCTCCAAATAAACTGGGCAGCACAGGAATCATTTATGTCCATCCCTCAATAACAAAGCATTTCTAGCATGATTCTCTAGTTGCTTCTACTCCACTTTGTGGCACTGAGGGTGTGTTTTCCTTACCACCCTCACAGTAGTTTAGAGAGGACAAGGTCATAATTCTTGTTTCCCATTAAGGGAATTTGCCTTGACTTTAACATCTGAGAGAGTCTTGGAGATTCTCTGTTGCCTTGAAGGCTTTACAACTACTTTTTAAGTATTTCTCCTGCATGTACTAAAATAGGCTGCATTCCTCAAAAAAAAAACCCCAAACAACACAAAAAACCCAAACCGCTATGATGCAAATATTTTCTTCCCTCTCCTGGGAAGCGCCAGGGTACAAAAAAGAGGCGTGGTCTTCTGTTAGAAATGAAGTTTTGCCCGGGAAAAGCCGCTCT